GACTACTGGTCCCTCCTCTTTGCTCCCTACTTTTGCATTCCAATCACCAGTAATGAGCAATACATCTTGATTGCATGTTTGATCGATTTCAGATTGGCAGTTGAAACCCATCAGCTGTTTCTCAGAAATGCTATACAGGGTAGCTATGAGATAGAATTGAGTCACTGTCACTTAACAACAAGGGCCATAGGGTTCCTTAGACTGGTAAATCTGGTCTTTGCTATGATTCTGAAATTTTTTTTCTTCCATTTTGTCACATGATAGCAGCTAATAACAGTAACCAGGCATCACCTAGTTCTTCTGGCCTTAGATTATTGGGTGCTGCAACAACCTGGAAGATTTTGAGTAATGAGAGTGAAGATCATAAAATGGTTGAAGTGTAAGTAAAGGGAAATGAGACAGTAACTGATAGATATATAATAAGATAGAGTTAGAGAGTTGCCAATATTGAGGATCTGGAAGCTGTGGAAATTGTAAATGATAAAAAATAAAATGCTACATGACTAACAAAACAAAACAACTTCCCCCACACAAAATCCTAGACTACACCTCCAAAATGAAACCTACATAGAGGTCACTAAAATTAAGAAGGTCAAGAAATGTGCTGATAAAGAGTGTCTTTGAATAAACTGTGTGTACATAAATTATTGGTATGAGTAGGGATGGAGAGGAAATCTCTGGACAATGTCTTTACTTCATGGGTAAAAATTTCTTGGCTTTGGTAAATGTCAGATTTAATGGAAAGAATCAAGTGGCAAAACTATAATATTATGAATGGCAAAAGTTTTCATTCCCACAATGTGAAGTTATAGTCAGCAAAGTACTAAGCTTTATCATCCTTATCCTTTCATCCACGACCCAATGACCAAGAAAAAAAGATTTTGATAATTACCAAATAACTGTAAGAGTGGCAATAGTTTAACACAAAATAAAGTGCAAAGTACTGTTTATAGACAGTTCTTTTGAGGAATTGCTATCTACCTAATTAACAATTGTGCCAAAAAAAAGATATAGCATATATCAGAAATAGTAAAACTTTAGAATGTCTATTGGAATTTGAATACAGAGTACTGGTGTGGTGCTATAAGGTAAATTCTTGACTGCTAACGGCTAGGTTGGTGGTTCAAATTCACCAGCCATGCCTTGGAACATATGCAGGGTCACTATGAGTTAGAATTGACTCAGATGCCCTTAACAACAACATGGGAATTGAAAATCTGATCATTCTGTTAGGGAAATAGTTAAGTATATTGCTGTTGTTAGTTATCTTAGAGTTAATTTTGACTTTTAGCAACCCGATATATGCAGATACCAGTCCCTGGAGAAGAACAAAAGTGGAGGATCAATGAAAAAAAAAAAAGAGTCAGACTCCTAATGGGATGGATTGGCATATGAGCAGCACCAATGGGCTCAACCTTAGCAACACTTGAGAGGATTGCACAGGAGAGGGCAGTGTTTTGTTCTTTTGTGCATGTGGTCGCTATAGTTGGAACAGACTTTATGGAACCTGAAATCACATATAACGTGTGCAGAATAGAATTGCTCCAGAGTTTCCAAGCATATGATCATTCAGAAGCAACTTGCCAGATCTCTGGGTATATTTAAACTATCAATCTTTCAGGTATTTGTCCAGAGTGTAACTATTTCCATCACCCCAATCAAATATTTAGGGAAGAAACAACATAAAATTCCATTCAGTGACTCACAACCACTTTCCTAGAAGCTTTTTCTTGAGAGTCCAGTTAAGGGTTCCAAGACAAGACACTCAATAAAGAATTTAGATAAGTAAGGGAAAACACTGCTTTCTCCTCTACAGAAAGCCACACTCATGAGCTGCTATGAGGGCATGACCAAGAAATACAGTTCTTTGGCACTAGGCTCCAGAGGATTTCCTGGGCAAGCCAAAACTACAAGTGATTATCAAGGGGCCAAATGATGGATATTTACACAGGAATATCACTGAAAAAATATTTATATTTTTCAAGTGGACACAACACTGGAAAAATACACATATTTTTCAAGTAGAAAAAAAGTCAAAATAAGATTTGTCATTGGGAATATGAATTTCAGATCAAAAAGAAAATGATTCACTAAAATGAATATTTCACTAAAAATGAAATTTTAGAGAATATTTCTAGTGGGTCAGATAATTAATGAAACCCCATATTAACTGTATGATTACTCTAGGCAAAATGGTACAATTGGCACAATAAAAAAAAAAAATAGTCATTACTCATAGAATGTGTATTTAGCCTTGGGAAAAAACAAATCATTCTTTTTTTTTTTAAAGGAGAATGTTCTGACCAGAATGTGTATTTTAATATACAAATAGTATATCTCAAATGGGAGCCCTTCTGGAGCAATAGTTAAGTGTTTGGCTGTCAAGCTAAAGGTTTGCATTTTTAATCCATTCAGCAGCTACACAATAGCAAAGATCTCATGGTTTACTCCTGCGAAGATTTTAGTCTAAGAAGATGTATCAGGAATTTCTACTCTGTCATAGAGTGTTGCAGTGAGTTAGAATTGACTCAGTGGCACAAAATATCATCAATATAATATGTAATTGGAATCTTTCAAACAAACAGGGTCTAAAAGTTGCTTTATTGCACAAACACACACACATCACTGAGTGTGTGATGCTTTCTATAATGTAATACTTTACTCTTCTAGATTCATTGGGAAGATGGAAAGGGGAAATCTAACAGTCATCAAGGAATTTATCCTTTTGGGACTTCCCAGCTCTGCGGAGCAGCAACACTTCCTGTCTATACTGTTCTTATGCATGTACTTAGTCACTGTGTTGGGGAACATGCTCATAATCTTGGGAATTAGCTGTGATTCTTGCCTTCATTCACCCATGTATTTCTTTCTTAGTAATTTGGCCTTTGTTGACATCTGTTTTACTTCTACTACAGTTCCCCAAATGGTAGTTAACACCTTGACTGGTACACATACTATTTCTTTTTCAGGCTGCCTCACCCAGCTGTTTTTCTTTATTTCTTTTGTGAATATGGACAGCCTTCTTCTCTGTGCGATGGCATATGATAGGTATGTGGCAATATGTCACCCTTTACATTACATGATCCTAATGAATCCTCTCCTGTGTGTCCAGCTGGTAGCTGGACTCTGGGTAATTACCTATCTTCATGCCCTCCTACATACTACTTTAATGGCACATCTGTCCTTCTGTTCCTCCAACATCATCCATCATTTCTTTTGTGATCTCAACCCACTCCTGAAGCTCTCATGCTCTGATGTTTCCTTTAACCTGATTGTCATTTTTACAGTAGGTGGTCTAGTGGCTCTCACACCCCTTATTTGCATCCTCATATCTTATTCGTTTATATTTTCCACAATCCTGAAGATAACATCTACTCAAGGGAAACAGAGAGCATTTTCTACTTGTGGTTGTCACCTGTCAATCGTTGTATTGTTCTATGGCACAGCCAGTGCTGTTTACTTTAGCCCATCCTCTTCTCACACTCCTCAGAGAGACACTCTGTCAGCCATCATGTATACCATTGTGACTCCAATGCTGAATCCATTCATCTACAGTCTAAGGAATAAGGATATGAAGAAAGCACTTCAGAAAATATTTTGTAAGCATAGAGTCATATAAAAAATTCTGAAACTCCGGGCTGAATTGAATTTATTAGTTTGGTGATTAAGTGTATTTGTAGGGCAAATAAGTGCAATCAATTAATATTAAGTACCCATTTATGCTAGAATTTGTATTACTAGTTTTATTTGGATATAACATTTAATCTTTGCATAAAATATATGAAAATTTAAGACCCATTTTATAGATAATAAAATTATGTCATTAAAGTTATATATTAAAAAAATAAAAGGTGATATAGTATGCATGCAACCCACAGATTGTACATAAAGAACGCTACACCTCCAATCCTGTGGGTCTTAATTTAGTATGTTCCTCAGTAAATAACATCATGAAAATGTAAAAAAATATTGAAGTTGTTAAATACTTCATTGCTTGGATTCACAGTCAGTACTCAGGATAGTAGCAATCAAAAACATAAATGATATATTACATTAGGCAAATCTGTGGGAAACAAACAAACAAACAAACAAAACTCTTTAATGAAGAGCAAAGATAGCAGTTTGACAATTAAGGTGTGCCTAACACAAGCCATGTTATTTTCATTCCCCTGACATGTATGTGAAAATTGTATAATGAATAAGAAAATCACAGAAGAATTGATGCATTTGAGTTATAGTGTTGGAGAAGAATATTAAAAGTTCCATGCTTGAAGAATAAAGAAATCTGTCATGGTATTTGTTTAAAAGTCAGATGGTTAGACTTTGTCTCTCATACTTCAGACATGTTATCAGGAGAGACCAGTCAGCAACAACAACAACAACAACAACAACAACAAAAACCTAAGACACACCCTCCCCCAAGGAGATGAATTGTCACAGTGGCAGCAGCAATGGATGGCAACCGTTATGAGGACGATTCAGGACCAGACAGCGTTTCATTCTGTTGGTCCTTATGAGTTGGCGCTTACTCAAATGCACCTAACAGCAATATGCCCGCTGCCCCAAAAAATCATACATGCTGTAGATTTGTAGTTCAATCCATGCTGGTTGTATATTCAACCTTTCTTAGTACCTTTTTTACATTTTAATATCCGAGGATGAGATAAGGCTATGATTACCTGACATTTTCCAGCCTTAAAAATCTCAACTTTGGGATCCTTATAAAGAACTGATTGGATGAATACATATATTGTAAACACATGTACACACACACACACACATACACCTTCCTAAAGCAAAACAAAACATACAGGCCTAGTATGACTTAAATCAATGCAGGAAAAGAAAAGGAAAACCTAATAGTAAGTTTTTCAAAAATCCAACAACACTTGTAAAATTGTTTGTCTCTTTTAACTAATTTACCAGGAGTCCTTGGGTGGTACAAAGACTAAACGGCTCATCTACTAGCCAAAATATTGATGTTCAAACCCTTCTCGAGGTACTAAATAAGACAGACCTGACAATCTGCTTCCAAAAGGATACAGGTTTGAAAACCCTATGTAACAGTTCTGTTCTAACAAAAAGGGAAGCCATAATTTAGAATTGACTCTAAAGCAACAGACAGTAATAACATGTTTATCTAGTTTGTAATATCTAATAAAGAATTCACATTCATAGAATGTGGGTACTGAAACAACTCTCACAAGAGTATAAACGTAAGTGTTAGAATAGCTACAAACAAAATGAGGACCAATACTCTGAGAAAGGTAAAAGTTTCTTTAAAAAAGTATTAATGGTGACAAGTCATGTATTCATCACTTAATAGCCAATCAAAAAAGCTAATATAAGCTGAAAAATTGATGCGTACACTTTTCTGGATTCTCAAGGGTCAGTAATGGAACACTATCAGGAAAAGGTCCATCAATCAACAATGCTATTGACAATAAGATGCTCACTGAAGAGTTGAAGCCTAGACTTAGATTAAATTAAAAGGACTGATAACCAGGGGCATTGTGATCTTGAATGACAATACATGCACACAAACCTCTGCCAACACTGTTGAAACTCTGAAAAACATCATTATAAGATGTTGTTAAAATATCTTCCTTATAGTTCTGATCTTGCTCCATGGGACTTTCCCCTGTTTGGTCCCCTGAAAGCATCTGTTCGAGGATGAAGATTCACCTCTGATGAAGTGAAAACAGTGGTACACTCATGGCTCATAACTCAGCCTGAAACATTTTTTAAATAACGGAATATGAAAGCTTGATGACAGATGGACAAAGTGTATTGAAAAGCAAGGAGACTGTGTTGAAAAATTATGTATTTGTCTTTTCTAAAAGTTTATTAAAATAAATTTTATTCACCCTTGTATAAATTTTTGACTGGTCCTGAAACTAGAAGAATTAGATGGTGTCTGGCTCCCAATACTGACTGCTCAGAAAGGGATCACATAGGCAGGTCCTAGATAGAGCATGAAAAACTGTGACTCAAAACTCAAGATTATAAAAAAAAAAAAAAAAATCACAAGCTTACCAGTCTGAAAGAGACTGGAGAAACCCAGAACTATGTGTCTTAGTCATCCATCATGTCTGGATCTTAACTTACCCTCTTAGCTCAATTTTCAATCAAGCAGTAGATATGTACAGGGGAAACAACAACATAGTAAGGTATGTTCACCATGAATGGTCAACCACTCAAAAATCAAAAGAACAGCATTACTTAAGGACAAAGTTCAAAAAGTTTGAGTAGGAGGGTGGAATGGATACAAGAATCAATGGAGGAAATAAGGTAATTGATGTTACATGGAGGTAACTGCAATCATTGAAATGAGGTGTATGTTTTTTTAATGTAAAACTGATGATCTACTCTGTAAACAATAAAAAGTTAAAAAAATTGGGGGACTATTTCAGGGAATAAAGAGAATATGCATAAAATGAAGATAATAATAATATTTCTTACATGATAAAAGAATGCTGTTCATATAATATTAACATGAGATGATTGACTGCCCAGCCTAGGAGAGACCTGTTCATTATTTCAAAGTCTAATATGTTGCAGTGGTGGTGGTTAAGTGCCATCATGTGGGTTCTGACTCATAACCAGGACTCCAAAACCTAAATACACAACTGCAAACTCTGAACATTTTCCTAAACATAAATATTTTTATGTTATGTAGATTAAGATGGTAAGAAATTATTGTAAGATGATATTACTTGCATAATCAGTTCTCCAAATTAAGAGCCACACTTGATACAGCCATTCAGATGAGACTTGTGTTAATAAAATGTTATGTAATTACACAAATGCATTTTTCTGGTATTAATTTCCTGCTTCCAAAATTAACCAATATAAAATCTTAGTATTTTCCAATTGAAACATCATAGAAACAGTATGACACACTGACAGTAGAGGATTTATTTTGCCTTTGCTTATTTACCTGTCAAAAATATAGACAATGTACATACATAGCAAAGGATTTCCCTTGTCACATTTGAACAATTGTCCTTGCACGGTTCTTCCTGACAGCATGTCAAAGATTAAGAAACAAAGTTTCACCATACTCTCTTTTAAGGAATACTGTGACTGTTCTTCTTCTAACCCGGACTTGCCCTTTGACTGTCCATTGTTGTGTTAAGTGCCATCAAGTCAGTTCAGTCACATAGCAACCCAGAGTACAACAGAACAAAACACTGCCCAGTCCTGCACAAACCTCACAATTGCTGCTACACTTAAGGCCCATAGCTACAAATTTTGTGCCAATTCATCTCATTGAGGATCTTCCTATTTACCGATGTCCCTTAACTTTACTAAGCATGATATTCTTCTACAGGGACTGGGCCCTCTTGGTAATACGTCTGAAGTATTATACATGAAGTTTGGCCATTTTGACTTCTAAGGATCATTCTGGTTGTACTTCTTCCAACATAGATTTGCTTGTTCTTGTGGGAGTCCATGGTCCCTTTAATATTCT